GCTCCATTTGCAATGGACAAACTTTATTTGCTTGCTTAAAAACTAAAGATGCAGAAGGGATTTTTTTTCGTATGTTTTATATTCCAGGCAGAGGTAAAATACTTTTATTGTGGTATCTTTGTCACATCTATACTACAAGCCTTCTCTTCTTTAAATATTTGCGGAATTTGATGTTAAAATCAATTTGATATGATAAATTTGTGTCGGTTGGCCTTAACCTACATGCCCAAAATCTATGTGACATCACCTTTTGTAGCATTTTTCATGCATTTGCTTACAGTATTTGTTTTTACTTTAGGCCATATTGGAGATGCTATTTTCCCAATACCCAGGCCATAATATATGTTGTTGATTCAAGTGATACGGATAGGCTGGTGATTGCTAAAGAAGAGTTTCATGCAATTTTGGAGGTGCTCTTGCTTCTCTTCATCTGTATCTCTCTTTTTTCTGTCTCAACTCTCTCCTCACCCTTTTCTATGTTGCAATAGTTGAGTTTTCTTCAGCATTTAAAAACCATATAAGAATTCACCAGAGGAAGTTCCCTCATAAACCAAGAAGAAAAAGAGAAAAGAAAAAACTTTTCACCACATAATCACATGGTCAGACTGATTTATCCCACAAAAAGTAACAACATATCCTCGACGAACCATAAAAAGTTGTCATGTATGTGAAGCTTATAAGATGGAAGTCAGTATTTTAATAGATGAACACTTGAGTAGGTGGCTCGGCCCTTACTGTTAATTGTCTTTAGGCTTTTTGCTCTGATAAGCTTTTTCGTGTTGCTGACACAATTCGCTCAATTTGTATTTTATGGGCCAACTTTTACCAGTATATTTCACGCAGTAGTGTATATGTACAGGCTTTAAAGGTTATCACCTGTGTCTGCGTGCGCTTGTTTGCTCTGAAACTAATTTTGCAATATAATTATCTTGTTTCAGGAGGAGGAACTAAAAGGTGCTGTGGTTCTCTTATTTGCTAACAAACAGGTAATTGGGCTGCAATATGCTGTTGTTTTAGTGTGAATTGAACTTCTGCTTTTATGTATTATCTTTAAGATTATCACTTTTGATGTTTTAAATCTTGCTTTAACCAAGAACCACCCCTTATATACATTCATTCATTCAATTATCTTTTGTTCCGACTGATATACAGGACCTTCCTGGGGCACTCGATGATGCTTCAATAACTGAGGCCTTAGAGTTGCACAAGATTAAAAACCGGCAATGGTCTATTTTTAAAACTTCTGCCATAAAAGGAGAAGGCCTTTTTGAGGGCTTGGACTGGTGAGAACAACTTAGCTATTTCTATGTTTTCCATTGATAATGTGTCATCATTTATTCATTCATTCATTCTCTGTGCAATAATTACTGAAACTATACTTGAGGTTCAGTAAGTTACTCAAAAGTTAGTTTTCTTCTTGAGTTGCAAATACTACCCACAAAGTCCTCGACAAATCCTTTGAATAATTAGGCCTAGCTAACTGAATATTCTGTAATTAGGCACTTGTACCAAAATTTTTAAATATGATGAAAGCAATTCTTCATGGTAATTCTCTTACCTTACTTTCTGTTTACATTATGAACCGAACAGGTTAAGTAATACGCTTAAATCTGGAGGTGGCTAAATTATCGTGCATTGCTCGAGATGATTATTGTGATTGTGTCAAAAGAGATAGTCGCGTCTAACTTGCTGGCGCTGGTTGTTTTCAGATTTCATAGTAGTTCGTCATGTTACATTTCCCTGATAAACTGTTGATATGGACACAATACATATTTTTGAAACACTTGTGAGCATATTTAGATCTATTATTCCTTTTGGGTTCATTCGATATTTTACGCTTCTGTTTCTCTTGTTTTCATTTTGATGAGAGTTCAGGGCTTTTATATTATGATATCCCTCGTATTCCTGTCCATTTTTTTTTTCTTTATCATGATGGGTTCAAACCAGGGAAAATTACGTACACGGACTCATGTCTACAGATATTTACATATGTATAATCATTGCAAAAATTAATCAAAATAGGATTTCTAAGTGATCTTTATTTCATTTTTACGAGATTGATTTATATCAGAAGATCTTTTTTTT